TCTGCAAAATGCAGATTCCCATCAAGGAGGGAAGGCCACCGATGACATTGATGTCAGCCATATAAACTTTGCAGTTATTTCTGAGGCACATCTAGCCCCAGGCCTTCACCAGTACCTGGCAAAATACAGGGCGGATACAGTCGAATTATGATTGCTTTTAAGAATCAGAGCAGGAATCCATCAACAATCAGAGTGGGGATGCGATAAGATGTTTTATTTGTTTGCTTGTTTTATTTAATTTAAGGCTGTCTGACTCCCAAATGACTCCGGGCAGCTTTTAAATAAAAAACAACTCATTAAAAGAAAAACAAAAGCATAAATGATGGCCACTCCTACATTACCAAAAAGAGGAAATGTATCTCCAGAAAAGATGGCAGAAGACACAGGTTTGCATGTGCTAGTACATATGTACAGATGGATTCTTAAATATTGACAGAATACATAGTGGGGAAGCCTGTGACCCAATCACTTGCAACTATGCAGCCCAGATGTTAAGTAATGATGGAACGTTTTAGGACCTCTGCTGCTCTTTGTTCTGTTCTGTTCATTCATTGAGGCTTCATTAAGCTCTACAGTATTATTTCCAGAACTCTGATAAGTTACTGAATTTTGCAGCATCACAAACCATGATGCCTGAAAATTCTCCTTCTTGTTGCATTAAATAGTTTTTCCTTCCTAATGGGCTTTAACTTGTCTTTCTTTTATGCCACTGCTCCCTTCCTAACATGCACAATAATAATATGAATGATAAACAGGTTGTTGCATTAAAAAACCCTGAAAAATAGTATTTCTCTGCCAATATCATATAATGGTGAAGATAAGGCTCTAACCTATCTCACATATCAGTTAATTGCATGCATCAGACAAAACCAACTGATTTTAACCTGGTACAACTCCCAGAATTCCTAGGCAGCAGCAAGAGAGCCCGTTTTTAAAGGGTTGCCCTTCCCTATATGAGATAACAACAACCCTACAGTTCCTGGAAAATAGAGGTGGTCTAAGTCATTTCTTAATTCAAATTCCAATTACATTATTATGTAATCCCTTTACATTTAATCATCAGGGAACAAGAAGTTATGGAACTCCAGGGGAGGCAATGATCTGGCAAGACATACAATGAGATAATAACTTTAATATTGTAATATCAATTCCAATCCTTCATGCAAATTTTATATCATAGAACAGAAATATAAAAAGATGAATGACCAAAGGAAATGAGTAACAGGAAGCAGGTGACAACACCTAGAAGTAATTTTGGCTGATCCTCTAAAACTTAAGCAGAATTGGATCTGAATATATTTGGATGGGAGGCCACCAGGAAATATCAGGGGTAAATAAGCTACAGAGAAGTTGAAGAAAATCTCAGAAGAAGGCAGTAGCAAGTCACACTCATGTTATTGCTATGAAATCTACATGGCTATGCTCACGTAGTTATGAAAGACACACTCAACTTGGGGGAATACTTATTTTGACAGGAAGATGGTTAATGCTCTCATGGTTTCCAAAATAGAATAAAGGAAAAATCACTGGAGCAACCTCCAGTTCAATTGTTCAGCAATCATATCTAGATATAATAGACATCTATAAGTAGCTATAGGAAAACAGAGCATGCAAACAGGAAAAGCAGGCTAAAATACTCAAAGAAAAATTACTTTAATATTTTAGGTATACTTTAGCCACAATTATACATTTCAGATCTATTCCAAACTAGCAAAGCATTCTGCCATCCAATGAAATTAATTAAATGTGGATACATTATATCAATCCTTATTAACTAAAGTTAGTCATAATGTTGTCATCATCAAAACACAACTGAATTTTGCTCACAACTCAGTTCCTGTGCTTGCAGTCTGATTATTCCTATGAAACTGATTTCTATATCAAAGGGTTGGGCGGGGGGGGGTGGAATGGCAGAAGTAATTTAGTTTTATATAGCTCTTTCCAGAAATTTAATGAAGTCCTTATTAAAAATCAAAATGTAACAGAGAAGTAAAAAATACAGAAAAAAATATATAGTTAATGTAATGCTTGCCTTAAAATTGCACATTTTGAAATTTAAAAAGCAGCCGACAAAGTGGGATCCTGCCTCCACTATAGTCATTGACAAAGATTTAGTGATTCCTTCTGATAGAATTACGATCATCATATATATAGAGAGAAAGAGAACACATGATTATAGTAGTGCTGAAAAACAATGATGTTAAACTTCACCTCCTCCTACCTCAAATAATTAACATGTAAACAACAAGACTAGAATAATTCTCACAAAGATCAGTGAATGGTGGTAATTATTCCTTATCTTGGCCCACATCAGAAACTCCAAACCCAGTTCCATGCCCCAAACAAGCTAATAATTATTAAAAATATATTCTATATTCACTATCCATAATTGCCTTTGAATGTTCATCAAATTCAGTGGATTTTCACTGCCCAGTCGCTTGCTATTATTTATTTATCAGCACAGAAATAGCTTATACCCATCGCCAACAAAGTACCTGCCAACTTTGTATCTACCAACTTTTTCTGAACAATTCTGAAAGAATCTCATTTGCGATGTGCACATTTCATGTTCTTTAGGATATCAAGCAAGACAGATCCTGCTATATTTATATTTTTAGTTCACACTCAGGGCCCTGTACCAAAAATAACATGTCAAGCATTTCCTCCTAAATATTATACTTTACAATGTCTTTGAAGGAAGATAGTAGTCAAGGAAGAAGAAAAGTATAACAAGCAAACAGAGGAGTTACACCATCCTTGTGGCTATGATAATAGTATATATTTTCCTGACATGTCAATAAATGCAATCCAGTAATACTGAAAGCATTAATTACTATAGTGTAATGACAGTAGAATAATGTAAGAACTTCCTCAATAGCTGGTTTAAAAATGTAGATTTTAAATAGATGTTAATCACAGTTGTTGTTTCTTTAGACAGGACATACATTGGTACTGTCACTGTTGGGAGCAAACCAACCATCAGAAATTAGCATTTGTGTCATGACGACACAAATTATTATCCCAAGCTCCAAATAAAAAGATATTAATAGAGCTATTGGAGGAACTCTGGAAATGTACACATTTCCAGTATGTGGGAATCTAATTCAGATCACTTGGAGAGCAAGAATCAAAGTGGGAAGTTGACTTCATCATGCCCAATGAGACCAACTGATTAGCTTCAGTGGAAAACAAACATTAATGTGGAGTCAAACAAATCTGGTATGCTTCATGTTCAGGGGTGGGGATTTGTAAACTTTTTCCAAGTTCATTCTTGTGAAATTAAGCTAGAATCAGCATTTGATTGGAATATGATCTCATAGGAGACTCCGTGCAAGGTGCTTTCCTTGGGAATCAGATCTGTTTGTTCAAGGCATTTGGGTGGCATCCCAAAGGGACACAAAAGCTGAGACATTAAAGTATTGCTGCTTGCTTAATCTGCAGTATGATGCTGGCAAGGGATTAGCTTCTCATATTAACTTTTAAGGGTGAGACCTTCTCCCATGCTAACCTGCTGAAGGCAGGAGACAGAAAAACCCTCCTTCTCTGTAAACATGCTTTAAGTGGCCTGGGCAACTTGTTATCACTGAGGCTGAGTTCTCCAGTTTCAAACTAAGTAAGGCAAGCCCCAAACCAGCTGTCAAACAGGAGCTAGGAAGTATGCTTCAAATACCTCCCCTACCTTCATGCCCAGGGTACCTCTTTGATTGCCCACTGCATCCCTTGGCCACATTGCAATAAATTTAAATTGCCATTCCTAAAAACATAGAGTCATTTGGAATTGTTGTATAACCCTAGATAAGATCTGGTTACAATACCATACATACCACTTGCTATCTCTAAGGTCACATGATGTGAGATAGGTGTGAATGAGCCGTCACAGATACATTAATGCTATCAAAATTGTAATATTGCCACATCAGAAACTCCAAACCCAGTACTTTTCAACCAACACATTGGTTCTCATGCTCAGGCAGCCAATAAGGATAGGTTGACTTCATTATCAAGCGATGAATTGCCGAATGAGCCACGACAGAAGAAAAGTACTGTATCTCTTCACATTATTTCAAAATATAGCAACCACCCAAACAACATGTTCATTCTATAAGGCTGTGGTCTACATTAGCCTTCCCCAACTGGTGTCCTTCAGATGTGATGAAACTGCTGCTATCAAAATTTGGGCACTTGCAGTTTCCACCAAATCTGGAGGGCCACCAGCCTGGAGAAAACTGCTGCATGGAAGCTCATTGAAGTCAATGAACTCAAGTGCGCAGGTTGCACTATTAGCTAATTAAATAATCAGTCAGACGTTTAATAAGGCATATATTTTTGGGGGGCGGGGGGATGCCCTAAAACAAAGTTTTTCAACAGGCACCATCCTAAAGGCAGCACTTCTCCACGAGCGAGCTAGCACCGGGCACCCACACTTTGCAGGAAATCGTTAGATCTTCAAAAGAAATCAAGCTGCTCCTCCATTACATAGGATCAGCTTCTTAAACGATCAATATGTGTTAAATCAGTTAATGAATTCCGTTTTGCAACCCTGCCCTGTAGTCTGTTCCCACAGGGAGTCGCCGCTCCAGGGAGTGGAGAATAATCCCCAGATCGGTTCATGAGAACCAACCTCAAGGAACCTCACCCCCCAGGACAGGCTTACGACCAAGAGACGACCGAAGCCTTTGGGCACGTTCAAGGGGTCGCGCGAAAGCTCCGAGGAAAGCCAAGGCCCCCTCAAGTTTTACCCTCCTCCTCCTCCTCTGAGAGTAATGAAGAGGATTCTCTCCCGGCTCTGGGCTAGACCCGTGGTGGGAAGGGCTCAGTTGAATACAGTACTACAACTCCCAACAGTCGTAGCGCGCTTGGCCAAGAGTCCTCCGTGCGCTCGCAGTCCCGAAAGCTGGCACCAAGGCACGAAGTTGGGGGAGGCTTCTGTGCCCGCCGCGACGCCCTCCGTCCCCTCCGGAGCCGAGGGCGGGGGGAAGAGGCGGCGGCTTCAAACCCACCTGGACAGCGCGGACCAGTTCTTTCGGCTAAAGGACATGCTGCTTGTGGTCTCTCTCCTACTGGCTTCGACCGTGGCGGACGCTGGTCTTGCCTACCGATTGACTGGGTTTTTTTCAGGAAAACTTTGCTGGCCTCCCGGTAGCAGCGAGAAGCCCCTCGAAGCCCCCCTCGCAGATGATGCTGGCTGGC